AACTTATATTTTGGAGTAATATTAATTTCTAAACTTGTAAATGTACCTATTAATTCCCAAACTTACAAAATTAAACACGTTAAATCCTGAACTTGTTAAACGGTTCCATATTCGTCCACAGCGTTATTTGGTCAAAAAAACGAGTTGACCGATCCGACGTGACTCGCCACGTCACGTGCCACGTCGGATCGGTCAACTCGTTTTTTTGACCAAATAATGCTATGGACGAATATGGAACCGTTTAACAAGTTCAGGATTTAACGTGTTCAATTTTGCAAGTTTGGGAATTAATAGGTACTTCTACAAGTTTAGGAATTAATATTACTCCAAAATACAAGTTCAGGAATTTTTAGGGTTTTTTCCCTAAAAAATATAGTTGTTATTATAGCAAAATATACTAACGTGATATTGCATGTTTTTTATAACTTCAAAAAAGTTCGTATTTTCTCTATTTCGAAATTATTGTAAAAGATTTTAAAATCTGGACCTAAAATTATATAACTAAAATCGTTATATATATTTATGTGTGTATTTTTATATGATTCAGGCTATATCATGGTTTGACAGTTTACAGTAGCAATACTACTTACTTAGACTATTATCTTATCTTTTTATTTTTTTAGAGAAAAAATCCTAAAAAAATTTAAACTTGTATTTTGGAGTAATATTAATTCCTAAACTTGTAGAGATGCCTATTAAATCACAAACTTGCAAAATTGAACAAGTTAAATCCTAAACTTGTTAAACGGTTCCATAATCGTCCATAACACTATTTGGTCAAAAAACGAGTTGGCCAATCCGACGTGGCGCGTGACGTGGCGTGCCAACTCAGAAAATTACCGCCACGTCACGTGCCACATCGGATCGGTCAACTTGTGTTTTTGACTAAATAGTGTTATGGATGATTATGGAACCGTTTAACAAGTTCAGGATTTAACGTGTTCAATTTTGCAAGTTTGGGAATTAATAGGTATCTCTACAAATTTAGAAATTAATATTACTCCAAATTACATGTTTAGGAATTTTTAGGGTTTTTTCCCTTTTTTAATTCATTTTTTCGATTATTTAAAAAAAAGGGAAAAAACCCTAAAAATTCTTGAACTTTTATTTTGGAGTAATATTAATTCCTAAACTTGTAGAGATACCTATTAATTCCCAAACTTGCAAAATTGAACACGTTAAATCATGAACTTGTTAAACGGTTCCATATTCGTCCATAGCATTATTTGGTCAAAAAAACGAGTTGAACGATCCGACGTGGCGCGTGACGTGGCGAGCCACGTCGGATCGGTCAACTCGGTTTCAACTCGTTTTTTTGACCAAATAACGCTGTGGACGAATATGGAACCGTTTAACAAGTTCAGGATTTAACGTGTTCAATTTTGCAAGTTTGGGAATTAATAGGTACCTCTACAAGTTTAGGAATTAATATTACTCCAAAATATAAGTTCAATTTTTTTAGGGTTTTTGTGAATATAAAATATAAGTATCTTTTAATTTCTAAATTGTTTATGAATTGTTTTAGAAAAATTTATATTAAAAAGAATATTTCTAAATCAAATATATTTTTTAATAGTCATGAATATATAATCAAACTGTGAAAACTAAAAATAAGATAATAAAATAATGTTGTGGAAGAAATACATATCGAGCACATCAATGTAATTTATTTATTTAAATAGATTATTCTAATGACCCTAAATTAAGTTAAATCAATTGAATTAACAAAACATTTAATCAACGGTTCGTTCTTATCCAAAAACCTGTTTATTTATTTATTTACTTTGTTTTTATTCATACAAAACTTTTATTTAATTATTATTTACCTTGTTTTATTTTGGCAAATTAGTGGTTCTCATTTTCGGGTCAATGCTAAATTGTACTCAAATAATTTTTTTTTTCTTTCTACTCTTCCTAACGAGATTGAAAATCATATTAAATTTCATATAATTTCTACGATAAATGAATATTTATTCAAAAGATAATTTTATTTTCATTCACAAACTGAGAGAAAAGAAATAAAAGTTGAAAAAATATTCATTTGAATATTGAGACTTTTTTTTGGCAATGTTATTAGTTTCTACTTGGAGAATATTTTTAAAAAATGCATGTCTTAATTAAGCATATAAGTTTTGTGGGTCCACGTTATTTACCCCTTTCATTTTTTTCAAAATTTTCTGACGGAAATTATATTCTTTTTAATATAATTTTTTCTAAAACAATTCATAAACAATTTAGAAATTAAAAGATACTTATATTTTATTCACAAAAACCCTAAAAAAAATTGAACTTATATTTTGGAGTAATATTAATTCCTAAACTTGTAGAGGTGCCTATTAATTCTCAAACTTGAAAAATTGAACACGTTAAATCCTGAACTTGTTAAACGGTTCTATATTTGTCCATAGCGTTATTTGGTCAAAAAAACGAGTTGACCGATCCGACGTGGCGTGTGACGTGGCGCGCCACGTCGGATCGGTCAACTCGTTTTTTTACCAAATAACGTTATGGACGAATATGGAACCGTTTAACAAGTTCAGGATTTAACGTGTTCAATTTTGCAAGTTTGGGAATTAATAGGCATCTCTACAAGTTTAGGAATTAATATTACTCCAAAATACAACTTCAGGAATTTTTAGGGTTTTTTCCCTAAAAAAAAACTGACGCTAATCAGTATTTTGAACATGACCCACCAACTAATTTGGCTTCCAAATTTTCATTGTAATATACCTTTAATATAAAATCATGAATAATTATTAGTCTTACCCTTGATATGAAAAGAGTTCTTAGGTATTAATTAATTTGATGCGTCGTTACACAAAATCTGTCCGTCTCTTTTTTTTTTCTTCGTATATATTTTGTTTTGATTCTATTGATAATCATCATCAACTTGGTTTGAACAACATGTCTAATTGTGGGAGTCCCCGTCTAGTGGTTAGTGACAATTCTTCTCTGCCAAGAGGTCGTGGGTTCGAAACCTAGGTATGGAAACTCTCCTTGAGCCGGTCAGCTTTACGAGGTTGGTTTATCTGCTCTACGTAGTTTGCCGGCTACTGCATAGGGCGGTGGGTTTTCTCAGATCCGTGATGTTGTCCTGATGTCGTTCTCGTCCGGCCCATGGACTGAGAGGTGTTGCGGTGTCCAATGTCCGACCCGAAGGGTTGTAGGATAGAGGTTTTCCATCGTTAAAAAAAAACACGTCTAATTTTTTTAATCATCAAAATATAAAGCCAAAAAAAGAATATGACACGCGTATCTACAGTACGCATGGAGCGCACGTGTGTATTGTGCGAGAGTGTGCGTGACGAGCATAGACGTTCGTATCATTATTCCACGTAAAAAAGATGAAGTTTTACCAAAAGATCAAGGCTCGGTTAAATGAAGAGAAAGCGAGGGTTTTGTCTTCAAGCCACCAAAAAGATACGAATCGAGAGAGAGAGATGTGGCCCCCGGCCACCGCCGCATGTTGACACATTTCACCGCTTTAACAGCGACATTCAAACCGTCTAAGTCTTGTGGTAATTACAAATACCTCCCTCATTTTTTAAAATTAAAGAATGTGTGTGTATATATATAGATACATATATATATATATATATATATTTATATACATAGAGAGAGAGACCTTGCCTGCATATTTTAAGGTCACATATGATTCAATCAAAGATAAAATAAGAAGAAGAAAACAAGAGGGAGATAGAGAGAGAGAGGTAGGGCTTCAAGGTATGTGTGTCTTGTATATATACAGACACATGTATATACATATATATATATATGGATATATATTTGGCTGCATGCCTTGTTCTTCTTCTTCTTCTTCCACGCCTTCTTCTTCTTCTTCTTTAATTATCATCATCATCTCTTGGTTCTTTGTTGCTTCCTATATTATTTTTTTCCCTTTTTTTGACCTCTTTCTCCTTGGTTCTTTCTTCCAATCTCAAGAATTTTCCAAACAAAAGGTACAAAAAAGAACTTAGAATGTTTCTTCCTCTTTCAAAAACTTACAAAACCCTTGATTTTCCTCTTCTTTTTATCCATGTCCCTTAGCGAATTTTCATGACATCAATCCATGGATTCTTCCTCCCCTTCTTAACGCTTCGTTCGTTTTCTTCTGCTACGATCTTATCTTCTTTTTTATAATTTTGATTTGTAGATATAGAAACAGCTTGTTGCCAAGATGTCGTCATCTTACACAATCTCGTCATCCTCTGCTCAGCCTTTCCTCTTCCACTGTCCCGCCGGCGGAGAAAACGACTTTAACCCTAAAGAGACGATTATGCAACCTCAAATCCCCTCGGCTCCACAAAAGAAACGAAGAAACCAACCTGGAAATCCAAGCAAGTACCTCAATTCCACACATATCTATATATACATATAAATTTATATAATTATGTATGTGTACATCATAATACCACCATATAATATAAGTACATAAATGCCAAATTATGATTGTATTAGAGACATATACAAATATATAAAAGTTTGCTGATGATAACTCTTTCTGCGAGGGCAATTAGATAAGAAAGAGAAAAAATTTCTCTAACCCTAACTCGATTTTCTATTAGGGTTTTCATTAAATATCCTCGGCATATGCAAAAATTTTGTGTTTCTACGACTGCATGTATAAGTATCTCCATAATTATCTCGTTTTTTCCCGGTGATTAATATTTCAATTGTGAATATACAGAACCAGATGCGGAGGTAATAGCGTTATCGCCAAAGACGCTAATGGCGACGAACAGGTTCGTATGCGAAGTGTGCAACAAAGGGTTTCAGAGAGAACAGAACCTGCAGCTCCACAGGAGAGGACACAACCTTCCGTGGAAGCTGAAACAGAAATCGAACAAGGAAGTGAAGAGGAAAGTGTATCTGTGTCCGGAGCCCACGTGCGTTCACCACGACCCCTCACGTGCCCTCGGAGACCTCACCGGCATCAAGAAGCATTATTACCGCAAACACGGCGAGAAGAAGTGGAAGTGCGAGAAATGCTCTAAGCGTTACGCCGTTCAATCTGATTGGAAAGCCCACTCCAAGACCTGCGGTACCAAAGAGTATCGATGCGACTGCGGCACCATCTTCTCTAGGTAAGTATTTTTTTCAGTATTTGATTCAATATATACATATATATATATATATATATTCTTCGTATTTTCGTTTTTTGTCAATACATTTAGAGTCGGTCGGGAACCAACCAATGGAAATTCCACATCGGTTATGTAACCGTGGTGAGATTTTATACTACCGATGTGAATGAAGAGGGGCCGGCAAAATTACTAATTAAGTAAAAAAAATGGTAAATTAATATTGTATAAGCGCATGCATGTGTATATTTGTAAGTATGATTTGTCTTGTGTAGAATGCCCTCTCGTCTAGGTAAGAAAAAAATGCACGTCTTTCTTGTTGTGTCGCATCACAAAATTCAAATTGACTAATGACGCTACTTTGTCTTGTAATAAGATATACCTTAAGGTACAAGTTAAAAATTTCGTTTATTTACTGACCGACACAAAATCATAAGATCTTGATAATATAGAACATCGATTTTTAACCTCGGAGAGACCGCCGGACGTATACAGTCGTACAGCTTGTTATATATATATATATATATATATATATCAATGTATTTGTTTGTTTGTTCTTGGGTGGTTAAAAGAGAAAGACTGAGAAAAAAGGCTAAATAATAACTGATGCTAAATTTGGTCGCATGTGAGTTGGATTTGCTTCCATTTCCCTTTTTGTTTTCTTCTTCTTCCCCTCACAGGTTCCCTTTTTCATGAAACTCCTCTTCTTATGGACCCCATCGCTCTGTCCCTATATATATACACACAATATATATATATGTATACATCTATACATGTGAGTGTGTGTTGTTTTGGGTGAAGAGAGTTATTTTTTCTTAATTAACAATGGTCAGAGTGAAAGGAGCAGTGGTTGATGGGCACTTACTAGGTTTTTTTAGGGTTCTTCTTTCATGATATTAGTAAAATATTCTTTACAGCGAGTGACAGACTTTACGTGACATTCATGGGTTTTGCATTAATTGAAGAATGTTTTTCACCAAACAAGTAAGCGACTCGATCTCCCCGGTTCCTCTATCACGTTCTCTATGAGGAACTAATAATGATAATGATAATCATAAACATAAATTCAACACATTGTAGAAAGTCATATATATTTGTATTTGTCAAATGTATATATGTTCACATATATGCACCTTTTCATAGTAAATGGATTGCCTTAATTAGTTACATGAAAGGTTTGTTTGTATCAATTTAACTATTGGGTCCAAATTCCAACTCTTATGCACCTATAATACGCTTGCGACTGAAGTAATTATGGGTTTTACTTGTATGTATAATCAATTATCTTGCATGCATGGTCAATATTATCTGTTTTGCATGCACGATTAAATGCTAATGTTCAACATCCAAAAATTAAACGCTTAATTTATTTGTTTTGTAGACGCGACAGTTTCATCACTCACAGAGCTTTCTGCGACGCGTTGATGCAAGAGACCCTCAGAAACCCTACCGTGAGCTTTACGGCAATGGCTGCCGCCCCCGGGAGCGGTGGCAGGATTGGATTGTACGGACCGAGACTCGGCGGTGGAGCTCTATCCCAAAACATGGATAACAATACAAATTCCAGTTTTACCCCTGTCGGAGTTTACAACCTAAACCGTTCCTTTCCCGACAACATGCAAAGACTCGGCGTCGGTATGAACAGGGCCGATAAGTTCGGAGACTTTGTCCCTCGGACGTCAAACCCTAATTCATCTGCTTTCTTCATGCAATGTCCGTCGAGTCAAGGATTGATGACTCGGAACGATCCGAGTTTCTTTAACCAGCTTCAGTTGGATCCCACTAATCTCCAAACCAACAACAACAACAACAACTTCTTCAACGTCGGATTCTTTCAAGAAATCAATGCCAAGAACTCCCAAACAAATGTTCCTTCTCCATACAGCGGCAGTTTGGTCCATCATCAACATCAGGACAACTTGAACGTATCGTCTAACATATCCGCAGCTGCTCTGCTTCAGAGAGCTACTCAGATGGGTTCGACCGCTCACAACAACGACCCTTCTGCTTTGATAAGAGGGTTAGTTTCTTCTTCGAATGCAGCCGATGTTCAAAACATCGGAGGACAAATGGAAAACGATAACGACAATCTTCAAGGCCTAATGAACTCTCTTGCCAGTGATGGCGGTGGCTCTGGTGGTATATTCGACGTTCACTTTTGTGATGATAACGCTGATATATGTGGCTCTGGAAAGTTAACGTTGGATTTTCTCGGGGTTAATGGCCGCGACCACCACCGGTCTCTGGAGGCTGGTATGAAATTTTCTCAGCCCAATAATCTGTTCTGAAAAGCTTCAAATTTCGGAATTTTTAGGTTACAAGAAGAAGAATATAGTTTCGTTTCTTGTTTTTGTTACTTGAATTGTTCCTCTCTGTTGTTTCAAATGTAGAAATGAAGTGTTTGAGGCTGTGGCTTTAGGGCAGGTAAAAATGTTGTTCAATTGTTGACAACGTATGTTAAGTTAATTAGCTACTTGGTAAACTTAGTTGTGCTGCAATTTAATCTCTTTTTATTTCCAAATTATTAGTAACTCTATATATATGGGGTTGGTTGAGGGATAAAACTATGCCATGCAATATTTAATTCGTTGGATCCACTCCAATCTGTAACAACTCACGGTAATTTTGTGCCCTGTATATACAAATTGTCAACGATATATGAATCTTTTTTTTCTTTTTTTTTGGTAACGACGGGAATCCAACCACAGCTCTTCGGGCGCGGTGATAAACCATCCGATTCCACGTAATAGCCTGCAAATATCCACGTATATGAAACTTGGTATATATATATATGTATATATATTAAAATCCGAAGTTTAGTAGCACATCACATCCCACGTTGCACATGCAAGTATGAGCAGATACGAAGATATATTTGTCGACAATAATATACCAACCGGATCGGATATATTCCGAGAGAGACCATAGTACAAACAGAAACATCCAACATTCCAACATTATTCAAAAGATTTAATAATCATGTTGTTGTTATTATTATTATTATTATTATTATTATTATTATTATTATTATTATTATTATTATTATTATTATTATTATTATTATTATTATTATTATTATTATTATTATTATTATTATTATTATTATTATTATTATTATTATTATTATTATTATTATTATTATTATTATTATTATCTGTTATTATTATTATTAGATAAAGGGATCTATATCTTGAACTTGAAGTATTTTATGTCCTTTTTTGTAGGTTACGGCAACCCCCATAAGTTCACTACAAAATCATAATTGTATTATAATTTGGCTGTAAAGTGAAGCAAATGCCAAGATTAGAGAGACAATAAAGTAAGAAATAAAATGTTCCTCTTTAAATATTGTGTGAAAAAGATATAAAATTATTTTCTTTTTCAAATGAGTTAACATCCTATAATTAAAAACAATATCCAAACCAATACTGACTAATTACAATATGTGCTCCTGTCTGTATGTACATGTATCTTGATATAAGAAACATATTGGTACTTAATTGTTTTTTTAAGAGAGATCCATCCACCTAATCCAACAATGTAATATATGATTAAGTAGTACCTAATTACTAATATACGCGAGAATTTTAATTTAAAAAACGTTAAAATAAATAAATGATACTTTGTGATGAAGCTAAGGCAAATTATGTTGACATTCTCAAGATCGACTCAATTCGTTTCTTTTCGTCTTTGTTGACACTTTTACGCGTTGACTGTACCTACGCAGTTTCCATGTCCCGACCACCCCATGTTTCTTATTTATAAGATGACGTGTGATTTTGTTTTTTTGTTTTTTTATAACCGGTTATATTGCCCCGAGTCCCATACTAATTTTCGGACCGTGAACAAGTCATATGATTGAAATTAACTTCTCATCCCTAACTTGAGCCTCGAACTTGAGATGGGTTTTGCATCTTCCTTTCACCGGTTGATTTATCCAAATTCGATTTGTTTTAATGTTTATGAAGACATTCGACAACATATTGAAATTATTTACCAATAAAGTAAAAATAAAAAAAGGTTGTAACTCTTATTGAATATTACCGAATTCACCGAAACAGGAGTACTTCCCCCATTTTTTTTTTTTTTTTTTTTTTTTGCGGATAGTTATAATTAAATATTACTATATGTATTCGTATGTCGTTTTCATCTTACAAACCCAGAAATTTTTGTGTACCAACTAGTGGATCTAATAAGGAAAAATGGGAGAAAGGGAAGGGGATCCATGTGAATGGCAGTGTTGTCGTTTTATGCGAAGTTTAAAATAACCCGTGAAGGCATTGCCGAGAAACAGTCGATGAATGCTACCGAGTTTTTTCGGATATTTCGTCCGTTTGATGGTTGGTCCACTTCCTTATGGGCCTATCGAAATTGGGTCACCAATATATATGCATGTGCATACGCACGTACGTAAAAAGGTATCCAAGAGCATATGTACATGGACACATCGACAAGGTAACGCGTTATTTCAATCTTGACAATATTGAATATGTTTAAATTTAAGGCAACGCGTTAATTCAAGCAAAACTAAGACCATGAGAACACCATGTGCCAATGGTTCTTTCAAGCGAATGATTTTTTCAATCTTGAGTATCTTTAAGACACACATACACATACATACATACATACATACATACATACATACATACTTACATACATACATACATACATACATACATACAAACATTGCTTTCTTTTTCGCTTTTTCTTTTGTGGACTATAAGCATTGTATGAAACGTTTTTTTTTACATTTCGAAAGTTCACCTTGACTTTGACTTATCTATATCTTCCAAAAAATTGGAAAAGCTCTAGTGAATATCCCCTCTCCATACTTTTATTTAAAATCGAGATAAAAATATGTTTGGTATGTTCTCTTATTATCACTGTAACACTCAAATTTGAGAAATTTGAGTCACGGAACATCTCTTGAACTGTAAACATGCAAAGAACCGCAGGGCCGATCATTAAGGGTTTGACTGGTTGTACCGCATCGGTTGCAGTTGCGGGTGGCAACGTTTTCAAAACGTTTGATAGCGATTATAAATGATTAGTACTGATTGACTGAGGGGTCGACTGGTTGCACCGCCGCCACCCACAAACGGAGCGATTGCGATTTTCGGCGGTTGCGGGCGATTGAAAAACTGACTGGTTGAACCGCAACCAACCGCAACCGCAACCAAACTTGTGTTTTCTAATCGCAGCTTCCAACTTGCGTTTTGGTAGCGGTTTCCGGTGTTTTGACAAAAAAACTAAAATATTTTTATTAGAAATTATATAAAACATTAATATATATATATTGGTGATGATTTTGTTTAGTGTTATGATTTGATATTATTTTTTAATATTATATTTTAATAAAAAAAATACAATAGTATAATTTTTAGGTTTAATAATGATTATTTTTAATAATTTTTATAATAAAATTATTTTTTTACTTGAAAATAAATTAAATTGATAATATTTATATTTTAAATTTATTATTTAATTATTATAAATTTAGTAAATAATTTTTATCAAATGATACGAAAAATTTAATTAAAAATATTATAAAAAATTATTTTTAAATAATATTTTTTTTGACAATTTATATCAAAACGTAACCGCAACCGTAATAAACCATTCACTTCTAACTGCACCCACCCGCAATCACTATCAACAACAACTTCTTAACCAGTCAGTACTAATCATTTATAATCGCTATCAAACGTTCTGAAAACACTACCACCCGCAACCGCAACCGCTGCGGTACAACCAGTCGAACCCTTAAATTATAACAGAATTTTAATTGTCAAAACAGTATGATCTCATATTTTTTTAAAATTTTGGTTTTGGACCTTATAGTTTTTTTCGTTATATTTATTTAAAACGAAATTATTTAAATTACAATGTCCATTGTTGATTTTTTTTAAATTTAAAAATAATTTTTTATAATAGTTTTAATTAAATTTTTAGTATCATTTGATAAAAATTATTTACTAAATTTATAATAATTAAATCATAAATTAAGAATATAAATAGTATCAATTTAATTTATTTTTAAGTAAAAAACAATTTTATTATAAAATTTATTAAAAATAATCATTATTAAACCTAAAAATTATACTATTATATTTTTTTATTAAAATATAATACTAAAAAATAATATCAAATCATAACACTAAACAAAATCATCACCAATATATATATTAATGTTTTATATAATTTCTAATAAAAATATTTTAGTTTTTTGTCAGAACGCCGGAAACCGCTACCAAAACGCAAGTTGGAAGCTGCGATTAGAAAACACAAGTTTGGTTGCGGTTGCGTTTGATTGCGGTTCAACCAGTCAGTTTTTCAATCGCTCGCAACCACTCCGTTTGCGGGTGGCGGCGGTGCAACCAGTCGTCCCCTAAACGAGAGTAATCTATTAACCTTGTGCTTGAATTATTTTTTTTTTATCCTTGACTATAGAGCTACGTATAAAATACATGCAAACTAAACATCAAAATGGATTGATTTGATTTGATTTGGTTATATATACTCTGACTAAAACAAAATCAAATAAAATAAGAGAAAATCAATATTTTTTTCCATAGAAAAAAGGGGCATGAGCTGATTTCATCTCTGCCTCTTTTGCATGAGACATTGATGATCGTCCCCTCGTTGCATGTCGATCGATGGACCTCCTCATGCCTCATTCGCTTTTGCATACGTCCCTACAATTATTGTTTTCATATTATTTCCCCCCTCATCAATATTAATTAAGTACAGACATCCCTCGTGTACCAACATTTTTTCTAGATTTAGTTTAACTCTTTGCGAGGTTTAATTAATTAATTGATATACTTCATGATATACATTATGAAACTCCTATTCTAAACTCAAAACTCAAGTTGAAGACAATATATATATATATATGTCCTAGTAGGAATGCACGTATACAGTTAAGGTGGAAACAAAATCGATTCTAGACCGTTGAAATTTAATTATAACATGGAGCGCTGCAGAAATGAAAGGACCATATATATATGTACAATGTATATACACGCACCAATAATGCTCATAGATATGGATACATGCATGTGTGTATATATAGATGTATGAAATATTTAAAAAAAGATTCATCACGGGACAAACACTCGTGACACTGCCAGCTAGCCCCCGTCACGAAGGCAAAAGGATAAAGAAAAAAGCGAATTAAAAAAAGGGAGAAAATAAAATAAAAACAAAAAGACAAGAATCCGAATAAAAGCTGCTTGTACTCTACAACTCATTGACTACCCTATGCAATGATAAACGATAAAATGTGTCAGATAAAAATATTTTCAGAGCTTTTTACCATTAAAAAAAGAATGCAAAGGACCAAAATAAATAAATAAAAATCATCGATCTTATGCATAAATCAAAAGGAACCACGGTACTTAATTGTAAGTGGCCTCAATTATCACTGTACATCAACAATATACAAACTATATATGCCTAGATCACATGTATATATATACCATGTGCATTATAGATATGTACATTTTGTATATATATTGTGTTCGATCTCAAAACAAAATATTAGCAAGTAAACTCGTACCATAATTATATATTTATATGTCAAAAGAGGAAATGGTTTGAAATCGGGACTTTAGATCAATCAAACTATAACGACTTCATGTTGCTAAGTCTTTGATTATGTTTGACGCTGAGTGTTTTTTTTTTAAATAAAAAAAGACACGCATACCTCATGGTCTTACTAGCGACTTTCTTCTAGAAACTTCCATGATGAGCTCCGAATGGAGGACTTGTCGGAGCACTGGCCATGCTGTTTCTGTGACCCCCCCCGCCGCCGCCGCTCATGCTCCGTAGGATCTGTCCTACGCCGAGGAAGTCTCTCGTCATGTTCTGCTTATCGACAGTGCTACTTCCCTTGTTCCTTCCAAACGAACCGAACGCAGGATCCATTGGAGCAGAAAATGAGTTCATCAAGTTCTGAAGGTTTCTCTCGTTTTCGCCATAAACGCCGCCGCTAAAGCTCCTCAAGATCGAGGGCACGTTGTTGTTGCTGTTGTTGTTAGTACTCGACGTTGAACCCATTTGTGCCGCTTTCTGAAGAAGTGCAGTGGCTGACATGTGAGGGGTAGGATTGGAATTTTGCATGGAGGAACTTATGCGATCTGTCGAGCTCAAGAGGCCATTTGGGAAGAGACCGATGCTCGTGGGCCCTTCTCGGCCTCCAGTAACCGCGTTTTCGCGGTCAAAAGGGTTCGATATCATCATATTACCGGCCGGAGAAGCTGCGGCTGCATTGCTTGTGGCGGCGCCGTTGTTGTTGTTGCCGGAGAGGAAGCTGAGGTTGAAGAGGTTGACAGAGGAAGGAGAGTTCAGCGAGTCGGAGAACTGCATGAGACCGTGTTGAAAAGTCAACGGCTTGTTGTTCGCCGCCGCCAAAAATCCTTGCTGGTGATGAGAGCTCGTCGTGTCTTGTTCGTGAAAGCTAGGGTTTTGGTCATGCATGAAGAAGCCGGAGGCATTGGTAGGAGGAGGTGGAGGAGGGAGGAGATCGGAGGAGCGAGACGCCGGTCCTCCTCCTCCGTCGCCGGCGCTTCCGATGCGGAGAACGTCGACGTTTTGGTTCGGGTGGTGGTGAAGATCAAGATTCTGTGTGGGCCCCATTTGGGAAAGACCGAGGATGTTGTGTCCGTACGGGAAGTGATGACTTGGCAAGGACGTCAAAGACGTTGGGTGTCTCGCACTTTCTTGAGCCAACGCGTCGCAGAACGCCCTGTGTGTGATGAAACTGTCGCGCCTGTGACATTTTTCACAATTATTTGAGCCACCGAAAGTAATATATTGGATCATCATCACCACATGCATGTACACACACATACGTACACATACATGCATGTACATATATATACAGGCCGACGTATCTGGGAAAAAAGGAAAAAGAGAATATGATGAAAACTTTAGAAAGCATGCAACAGTAGAGGCTCATCATGTCTGGTAGCCACGAATAGATTCGCTTGTGATTATGGGATCTTGAAAAGTGGAAAGCTAGAAAGATACTCTAGTACCCTATATACATATATATATGTATAGTCTCCTCCACATAATTTGTGTTGATTACGAGCGCGCACGCACACACACACACATATATATATATATATATATATATATATATTACATGAATGTATGTTACCTGGAGTCAAATAAATATACGGATATATATATATATATATGTGCGCATACACTTGCATAAGATTACAATGTTGTCACACATCCACCCTGCGGATGCACGTCGTCTGTTCGTACGTACTGATGCAGACATGCATTATACATTTGTGTTAATAATGACTATAATAACTTATCTTCTTAACGCCATTAATGTACAAAGTTAGACGAAGATTACAAAAAAAGTTTAATGAAGATCAGAACACGTCAGGTCTAGATAACATCATTTTGATGATAAAAAAAATATGTTGAACCTCGAAATCGTATTGAAAAGTGAATTATTCATATATGTAAGCAAATTTAATTGTCTAAGTATTGAAAATCCCAATTCATAAGCAGACTTTGTCAATAATATTACGAATATAGTTTTGAATATTGCAATGCATGTGGGTTACAACGAAGACAGACAGAAGACGATAAAACGAACTCTATAATAAAATATATTCCATATGTTATATTCTTGTCTACATGTAAAAATCACATATATCAATGTAAAAAACCTCTTGTCCGTTAGCATTTGTTTTCATATTTCTGTATATATATAATACATCGGTTTCTGATCAAACTCAGATAATTTAAGGGACAAAACGATATATACTTAAGTGTGTGACTGAGTTTTTTTTTGTATCTATATGTATAAAAAAATGCATAAATTAATAGGGTAGGTGAATCAACTTCGCAAAAAAATAGACAGAATGATTGACCAATCAATAGCAGAATCTGTTTAGCTCAAGATCCCCGAATGTTCAATAAATGCAACTAGAGTATGCTTTGAAAGAACCTCCTATTTATCCCTCTCTTTCTATTTCAGGACCCCTCTCTCTCTCACACACACATATATACATACACAAATACACACACACATATATATATATATATACACAGCCACAGACAAAAACATCCACAATACAAAGTGGCATACAGGACTAAAAGGACTGTCCCAAATTTCTAACCAACATATTATATAGCTGTCCGAATGAACATTAAGACCAAGACCCGCAGTTGGGGCATACACACGCATATTATTAAAAAGGATGACATAGTTATGGCCGTGCACTGTAGATTTAAATTGGAAGAAAATTAAAAAGGCTAATTGCTAATTTTCTCGAAAGTTTTTTTGCACTAATACAAAATTGTAACTTCAAAACCCATATACTGATTAATTATTTATTACATATTTTATGCATTACGGTTTTTACAAGAAAAAGTAAAGATGGAGTGTTAGGTTACATATGGTGCAGATGTAGCAATGCATCATGTATGTACATGCGTATATATTACACGCGCGTAAGAACGAACACTGTGACAACAACCTCTCTATATATCACATGGCTTAGCAGCACGTGAATTGCCCCCAAAAGAAATATAATTTCAGGTTTATAACCTATATATATATATATATAAATTTGGCTGAAAATATTTGTTATTATTTTATTTATTTTATCAAAGTGAATGCGGTGTTTCCAATGCAAAGATAGAGAAAAGAAAAGTACGTTGAAATTGGGATTCTATGGTTTGAGTTTATGCTGGAAACTGGAAAGCATCTGAAAGACCCATTCCACGTCTTAAATACATATGCATATGCGTTTATATTCATGTATGACCATATTTTTCCACGTCGCAGTTAAAAAAAAAGGAAGAATGATTAGTATTTATATTGAATTATTATTTTTTTTAAAAGTGGGTTTAAGCTGGCAAAAAAAAATGAAGAAGATGTCCGTCGAGAAAAAACCCGAAGAAAGTGCATTTATTACACGAGAAAGTGATAATAGCATCGAAGTCTTCGGGGCAAAATAGAAGGAAACCCTAAGAAAACCCTAACCCAAGAAGAATGATTCACAGAGGCAGAGACATATATATATATGTTCAAACACAGATATATATATATATATCCATATGTACGTATATGTTGAATTTCGTTTAGTTATATGGTTTTGCACCAGATTCTAGTGGCTCACTTGGACAGGCATCTGGTTTCTCTTGGCCTTTTATTTTTTGTATATTGCAACTTTATTTAATACAAATTAACCTTAACCTAAACCTTAAAAATCCGCATCATCGGCCACAAAACAGCAGAATCAGACACATAGACATACAAAGGGCAAGAACACAGACACACACACATGTTATGCAAGCAGCTAGATGAATTTAAACAAGATTAATCAGGGGTTGTAATTAATGAATATAAAGAATTGAAAATCTTGAATATAGAGTGTGGATTAGAGTTAATTACCTAGAGAAGATGGTGCCGCAGTCGCATCGATACTCTTTGGTTCCACAGGTCTTGGAGTGGGCTTTCCAATCAGATTGAACGGCGTAACGCTTAGAGCATTTCTCGCACTTCCACTTCTTCTCGCCGTGTTTGCGGTAATAATGCTTCTTGATGCCGGTGAGGTCTCCGAGGGCACGTGAGGGGTCGTGGTGAACGCACGTGGGCTCCGGACACAGATACACTTTCCTCTTCACTTCCTTGTTCGATTTCTGTTTCAGCTTCCACGGAAGGTTGTGTCCTCTCCTGTGGAGCTGCAGGTTCTGTTCTCTCTGAAACCCTTTGTTGCACACTTCGCATATGAACCTGTTCGTCGCCATTAGCGTCTTTGGCGATAACGCTATCACCTCCGCATCCGAATCTGCTTTTTTTCAGATGTTTTTTTTTTGTGCGATTAAAGAGACATAGAGTTAGAAGTTTAAAGACATAATTCAAGATTCGGAGTAAATAAATACTCAGGTTATGCATGGAAGTATCACGATTCATACCAAAACTGCGATTTTTTTAAAATCAAGATTTGTTTTCTTCTTGAAAAATCTATGACCAAGATGGAAGAAAGAGATCATTTGTTTTCGCAAATCTCGATCTCGTAATTGACGAATATGACCACTGAAAAAATTGCTTTTGAAGATTTCTCGTGAAAAAAAAATGTGAACTGGAAAAAAGGAAAAAGAAGGCAATATAGATTAATAGAAAAGAGATGAACTTGCTTGAAGTTCTTGGCTGGTTTCTCTTCTTCTTCTGCGTCGGACCTTCCTCCGGCGGCGGCGGCGGCGGATGAGGAGGGCCGGAGACGGCGGAGGAACTCTGAAGAGGAACTGGTGTTTGATCTTCTTGTCTTACTCCGAAAAACGAAGCAGCCGATGATGAAGAAGCCGCCATGTCTGTTTCTCCTGCTTTAATTTGGAGCTTTTAAGCAGCTTTTTCTTCTCCTTGTTGTTTGTGATGGTGAGAGAGAGGAAAAGAGAGATGAAACTACCCAGAAGAAACTCCTAACATTAAATTCTTTTTTGACTTCCACTGATATCTTATCTCAAAAAACCCTAAAAATGGGCTATTCACAATTTCTCGAAATTTCCGTGTAATTAACGCAAATCCAAAATAAAATGAGAGGAGAACGAAAGTTTATTTATATATCTAACATAATAAACAAGCATGAGAGAGAGAGAGAGAGAGAGATTTGATACTATGGCGATGAAACCGAAATCAGGAGAAAGTGGGGAAGTGAAACGAAAGAATCTCACCCCACTTACAATCAGACACACATACACACATATATATGTTCACGTGTATATAAGCAATAATTACAAAGAGGGTTCAAGCTCTACAATATTCTATATATTATTTTGAGTTTATGTAAACGTTACATAAAAATAATGAATGAAATTAAATACGTTACATAAAAAAATGAATGAAATTACATACACTATACATAAAAAAAAACACCCACATACTTAGACATCTTTTCGCCTTTAGAGAGTGTGGTAAATGTGGTGTAGTGGTTAAAAAATCTGTGATTTTCCAACTCTCCAACGAATTTATCACCCTTTCGATGATTTACCTATTCTATGTGATTTGTAAATTATTACATGGAATCGGAAAATTTATCACCGCATCCTAAAGACTGTGGTTGGGTTCCGTCGTTACAAAAAGAATACCGACATACTTGTTACTTCAATTCACACCATTGATCCAAACCCTTCAATATATATATATATATATATTAGAAATATCAGAAAATCATTTAATTTATTTTGTGTATTAAAGTAATGTGTATGCGCGTGTGTATATTTCTTGCAACCCTTTGAACCATAATACATAGCTATGATTTTATGTTTTTTTTTTAATTTGAGAAAAAAAAATAGAGTAGAAAGAAAGTATGAGAGTTACAGAGGTCGGTGGACCCAATCCATTTTGCCGCAAAACGACAGAGCATGGTGCGTGAGACAACCCTCACCGGCTCCTCTCTCTCTCTTCCGCTGTATTTTTATATATATTACACATTAATTATATTAGTAAATCCATATTTACATATTGACTAGTCCTCTATACATATATATATATATATATATATAAAGTTTTTTTTTTCAGATATTTCATGGGTTACAAAACTGCTACAATAATGTTCATGGATTTTTTTTTTCTCAGGTCCCATAGATAAACTTACAGATATTTTCTAAAATCTGTCAAATATGTTTTAAAATTCTCATCACGGGAATTTATCCCAAACAAAAGACAAATATCCGTCGCCATCGTCGTCGTCGTCATCATCATCTCATATGGGCCTCCTTTGGTTTTAAAATGTTCACATCTACGTATGTATATGCGCTGTCTATTATATATATATGCATGATACATGATATCTGTATACGTACGTAAGGGTAGGTATATATATATATATATTTATATAAAAAAAGGTATATATATATATATATTACAACGAGGGTTGAAAATGAAAAGAAATATTCCAGAGATAAAAAGGACAAGGAAGAATGATTGTAGATATTTTTCATGCATGTCAGCTTGTGGTACAGTAAAAGTAAAAAGGACATTTCGTTTTTTAACTACATGTATTTTATTCATTCTTCCAAAATTCACGCATTTATTTACTAGAAGTAAATCAATCGGCATACTATATATACACACACACATATATATATATTTAGAGAGAGAGAGGTTATCAAAAAAAATATATTTAGAGAGAGAGAGAGGATAATGTTAGAGTCTCATATATATATATATATTAGATTTTACTGCACCTCAAAGAGCAGGTCTACTGTCCAGTGCCCACACTTGAATTCCACTGTAAAAATTTTACTGTACCATCTTATATATGTAATATATTATATTATTTTGTGCTTAGGTTTGATTTAGATTTCAAGCCGACGCGATTATAATATACGGGCTGTCCATCTTAACGCTTTTACATCGCTAAATAAGTATAATAAAATAATAAAGTTTCTCCGTTGATCGTTGAATAAAAATTATTAAGTTTGAAAAAACCATGATTTGTAATAACAAGTATATTATTACCCATATAATTATATATTTAAAGCAAAGAATTTTCAGAAGAAGGAATGATAGTTGTCATTCCCTATAACAATGACATCTTAACCTTCGTTTTCACCTTCCTCTATACATCATAATCTCCAAAAAAAACAAATAAAATAATGGATCTTATATTTTACTACAATTTTCTTACAATCATATATATGTTGCTTCTCCACAGTAATTTGATGACAGCTCAAATTCGCTTAGAGTTTAGCATGTTTAGTTGAGCAAATTTTGTTAAAATTAAAATTATTATTATAGGAACTATGAGAAATTTATATTTATAAATAAATTTTATCCACTTAAGGACTTGAATGGAGATGAGGTTTTTGAGGATTTTAAAACCTAAAAACTAAAAAAATTGAAAATTAAGATCTGTAAATTTAGGTTTTCCAAAAACTCAAAAAAATTATTTTAGCAAAAAAAATCAACTAATAAAAACCAAAAAACTTCCTTTCTTTTAATTTACAAATTCTACCAAAATAAAAAACCACAAACCCAAAACTAAAACAAAAACAAAAAAAACTCAAAATAAAAATTATCATCATTCATTCCCTAAAGTTTAATATTTATGTGCATAATCACAAATATAAAAAGGAAAACCTAGGCTAGTAGAAAATATACAAGAAATTAGGAGTTGTACCTCACTCACAATCTTCATGAAGTCTTTTATCTTATTTTATTCACAGAATCTCGGACCAAAAAATACCCAACAGTTAGATATGTACTCTTTCACTCATTTTTATCTTGAACCCGTGAATATTTTCAGTGTATCCTCCATCTCTCTCTCTCTCTCTCTACACAAACACACACACACACATATATATATATATATATATATATATATATAATGCTTATATATGGTTTGGTTTATATTTTTTTACGTGCAGTGTATATATATATGGTGTGGCTGTGTGTGTAATGCAGAGGACAGCAGGGATAGTTATGAAGATATAATTATCCGAGAAGAACGTTAGTTACTCCAATTAAATCCTAACAAGTTTTCGAATTATTACCGAAACTGACAAAAATAGCCTTCGGTTCTCACAGCAGACGCTGTTTCCAGATGGGCAGTACTGTAATTGTAGCATTTCGTTTGTTTTTTGTGGTAGTAATTAACAGCGCCTTTGGGCTCCTAACGACAACTAGCCGCGTGCAAGACAAGTTCTGAATTACACATCTTGAACATTTTAATGTGAATAAAATTCTTTTTAATATTGGTGCTTCTGAGCGTTACATTTTTTTTATAAAAAAAATAATATATAATCTGTAGAGAACAATTTGTACAAATTGGATCTAAAAATGTTCAGAATTTTAATTTTGCCCCTTCAAACTCGAACCTAGAAACAGAATAAAAAAATACATGTAGATGATAATATATATATATATATATATATAGTGATATATAGACCGAGTTCGGATATTTGTAATATAACCATTCGCTTTGAATTACGTGCTCATATGTCCGATTCCGTGGGTCCCACCCCAAGTATTTGTTAATGATTATTCCATATTTTTCCTATGTTAACCTCAGACAGTCTCAGTAATTTTCACGTGTTTAGTATAGTTTTCGTTTCAACTTTTATCCGAGCCACTCTTGTCTTTTGTTTCACGGCCTAAAATAAAGTGTGTGAAAATTTAGCAGCCCACTAATTACTACACGGTAACACACACATATATACACACACACACACATATATGGGCCTAGGAATATTCAAATATATGAACCCAAGTGACAGATCTTCAGCTCAGGCCCAATGTAAATGGATGACCCAACCGTACAAAACTCAACAAACTAGGGTGTCAATCGGGCCGATCCGAATCCGCACTCGACCCGAAGGTTTCGGATTCAGTTTTGGATCGATCCAATTTTTTTCGGACCTATATAACTAAACTCGAAGTCCGGTCCTATATATTTTGGACTTTGGATCGGGGCAGTTCGCATATTTTCTTTGTAAATATTTTTTTTTATTTGTTTCTTAAAATATCGGATTTTCAGATTGTCCCGAATCGAGTCCAAGGCCGGATTTAAATCCGGTCAAAAAATCCAATTTTTTTCGGAGTGAAAAATTTAGATCCGAAGTCCGTTAATTTTCGAAATGGACCGAGTCGGACTTCGGATTTTGGGCCTAAATTTACACCTCTACGAGAAACAGACGGAGCTATTATGTAGAATTAAATATGGTATAATAATTTCATGAGGTAAAAATATTCAAAAAGGCAAAATAATTTAACTTCTTTTTTCGTCACTAAATTTTAAAAAGTACCTGCACATATTAATGTTAAAACTCATATATTTGCAACCAAATAAGACATGGATATATAATAAATATTAGTGGATTCTGTTAAATGATCCAAAAATAATGGAAATTATTAAAAGAGCACATTTATATTATATTTTTCTTATGAATGGGCTTTAGTTGATACAGCTACCCATTGTTCAAAGGCTCCTTACAACTTTCCACAAGATTTATTTAGGCCCATAACATTATTAGGCCTTTTTTGAGCCCAATAAATAAGACTAAACCCAAATCCGAATCCAGACCGTTTCACGAAAGGCTCTATTTACTAGAGTTCTCTCTGCACCTGAACAACATTTTCGTCCCCTCTTCCTTTAGTCGGTTCTGTTGCTTCGAACTTTCTGTGAATCTCGAACTCGGTTTTCCTCCGCCTATATCGTTCGGTTCTACGGCGGTTATCCCGGCGGCGAAGCTAATTCACGGTAACGGTATGGTGGCTCTACGCTCTTTCTCTCTCTGTATGTTTACTTTTCTATGAAATGGTGTGAAAAGGGGAAAAACGAAGATGCAGTCTATATGATGTTGAGAGTTTAGGTCTGGATTCATTGTTTTGAAGTGATTACGGTAGTATGTCGTCGGGTAGGAGTATGTGTTGGGTTTTGGTCCTTGAGAAGCTGGGATGAGGATTGGGGCAAAACCCTAGTTAATCGGAAAACGTGCCTGCTTATCGGAGAGGATTGTAGCTGTTTCCTGTTTAAAATGATGGGGTTGATTTTATCTAGGTTTTGATGGTCTTAACAGTTAAATTCGTTCATATAATAGTTTGGACGATCTAGGTCTTAACAGTTATTTTCTTCTACATTCTGATTTTCAGAAACTAAATTTGGTGTCCTTTTTGTTGTTGTAGAAGATGTTGGGTGCAACACCCATATTGCCACTTGAAGCTCCTCCAGCTGATGGGAACCTCGGACCGCTTCCTCCTTCTCAAGTAACGGAGCAGTTTAACGAAGAGAAAGACTCAGAAGTGGAGCAGACCAATTCGAATTCGGCTCCGGCATCTGTTGCTACTCACACAAAGACTATCGGAATCATACATCCTCCTCCAGATATCAGAAATATCGTCGATAAAACAGCTCAGTTCGTCGCTAAAAATGGGCCAGAGTTTGAGAAGAGGATTATAGCTAGCAATGCCAACAATGCTAAATTCAACTTTTTGAGCGGGTCAGACCCATATCACGCCTATTATGAGCATAAACTGTCTGAGTTTCGTGCTCAGAATCAAGTTTCGGTTGAGCAGCCTGGTGAATCGGCTGCTCCAGAGGCCAAACCTGCCCCTGCAGCTGTTGATGGGGCTGAAGCAGCTGCCAAACCCGATCTTCAAGCTCAGTTCAGGCCTGCCCCTCCTAAACCTCTTGATCCTCCAGAGCCTGAAAAGTATACTGTAAGACTTCCTGAAGGTATCACTAGTGAGGAACTGGATATCATTAAGCTCACAGCTCAGTTTGTTGCACGTAACGGGAAATCGTTCTTGACGGGGCTGACGAGTAGAGAGATTAGCAATCCTCAGTTTCATTTTCTGAAGCCTACCCATAGCATGTTCTCTTTTTTCACTAATTTGGTCGATGCTTATTCAGAAGTGTTAATGCCTTCCAAGGATTTTATAGAAAAACTGAGAAAGAGTGCTCCCGACATGACCACAGTGCTTAGGCGTTGTTCACATCGTCTTGAGTGGGAACGTGTGCAGGCACAACAAAGGCAGAAAGAAGAGGATGAGAAGCAGCTGGAGAGAGATCTGATGGCTTCGATTGATTGGCACGATTTTGTTGTTGTTGAGACAATAGACTTTGTTGACGAGGAGGATGACGAATTACCACCTCCTATGACACTGGAGGAGGTTATAAGGAGAAGCAAGATATCAGCAATGGAAGAAGATGAAATTGTTGAGCCTGGAAAAGAGGTCGAGATGGAAATGGATGAAGAAGAAGTTAAGCTTGTTGAAGAAGGTATGAGAGCTGCTAACCTGGAAGAGAATGGTGCTGTGCAGAAGGATAATGTAAAAGAAGAACCAGAACCACCCATGAGAATTGTTAGGAACTGGAAGAGGCCAGAAGAAAGAATCCTGGCCGAGAGAGACCCGACAAAGTTTGTGGTATCACCAATAACGGGTGAGCTCATTCCTATCAGCGAGATGTCTGAACACATGAGGATTTCACTCATCGATCCCAAGTACAAAGAGCAGAAAGATAGGATGTTTGCTAAGATCCGGGAAACCACTCTTGCACAAGACGACGAGATTGCAAGAAATATAGTGGGACTTGCTCGTACACGTCCCGATATCTTTGGAACCACCGAGGAAGAGGTTTCAAATGCTGTCAAGGCTGAGATTGAGAAGAAGGACGAGCAACCAAAACAGGTAATCTGGGATGGCCACACTGGAAGCATTGGGCGCACGGCAAATCAGGCATTGACGCAAAGTGCAAATGGAGAAGATCAAGGTGATGCTGCTATTGGGGATGCAAGTAGTAATCTCCCTGGTCCAGCAGCTCCTCCTCCTCTCCGGCCGGGTGTTATATCAGTTAGGCCACTACCACCGCCTCCTGGTCTTACACTGAATCTCCCCCGGATTCCTCCTCCCTCTCTTCAATATCCTGGTGCACCGAGGCCTGTTGGCATTCCAATGATGCCATCCATGCATCAAGCTCTTCAGTCTCCGATGCCGATGGCATCAGGACAGCCTTCAATGCTTGTCAATCGGCCACCAGGTATGCAACCATCCATGGGTCAACATGGTATGCCCGTGCCACCCCCGCCAGGTTCTCAATTTGCTCATATTCCAGTTCCTCGACCTTTCACTCTTTCTATGCCGCCACCACCCACTATGCCTATGATGCAACCCCCACCTATGCCTGGAGTTCCTCCTCCTCCACCACCTGAGGAGGCACCGCCACCGCTTCCAGAGGAGCCCGAGCCGAAGAAACAGAAACTTGATGAGTCAGCTCTTATTCCGGAAGAGCAATTTCTTGCTCAACATCTGGTATGCCTTCTTCTTTGCTTTTTTTTTTCCATTTATTTTTCATTTTCCAGATATATCGTGGTTTTCTTCATGTGCTTTTTTGACATTACATCAGCTCTCTTTCGTATGTATGTGCTGACTTGTTCTCTATTGTCGTGACCTGTAGGGTTCGGCTACCATCAAGGTGTCTGTACCCAACGTGGATGACGGGCAGAACCTCAAAGGGCAGGTTCTTGAAATCACAGTGCAAACACTGTCTGAAACTGTCGGCAGTTTGAAGGAGAAAATTGCAGGGGAGATACAACTTCCCGCTAACAAACAGAAACTAAGTGGAAAAGCCGGTTTTCTCAAGGACAACATGTCTCTTGCTCATTACAATGTCTGTGGAGGAGACACCCTAGCACTCTCTCTGAGAGAACGTGGTGGAAGAAAGAGATAAATAGGGTTTTAGCTCGAGTACTGGTCTTCACCATGAGGAAATAGTCCGCATGCTCATGCAGAAGGATTTCTACTCCCAGTTAATCTGATGTTTACTCATACCATCAGATGTATTGGTCTTTGCCGTTTGAGATCATTGTTCTCTACTCTCATCTCATATCTACAATAGAGTTGTCACTCTGAGACTCTTGTTGTTACCGACATTTAGATGAAACCCGTATTGTCTGTCTACTTCTGTTACTAACTGCTTTCCTTTTTGCATTTGCAGCTATTTTTGAGGCAACTATTGGTGTTATGTAACAATCCTAGTTCTTTTTAATTCAGCTTTTTTGGGAACACTTTAGCCTCACCATTGTTTGATTTTTCTGTTTTTTTAATCTCTCTCTGGATTATGTGATCTCACATGTGTTGGTTATTAGCTTGTGGTACAGTTGGGTTCTCGTTTCTGTAGGAAGGCTGTTGCACTGACACTAGATGTTCGGATGGGCATGTCCGTCTGGATGAGGTGCACCTGCTCATCCTATTTCCATCGTTGTTGCAGGTATGCAACCATTACCCTTACCACGATGATGATTTAGACATTTAAGAGTAGGGTTTTGATTTTAAAAAAAAAAACTTGAACGGATGTCTTAATAAGCGTAGGGCTGTTTGACAATTCATGCTTTGGTTGGTGTGTTCTCATAAGGGTGAAGATGTCATAGATTAATGCTCTAGAGTTTTAAGCCTCTTTCTCCACGAATTTGGATTTAGGTATTCTCATTCATCGGGAATTCTTGATGTAGCTATGGGGGGCATTGAGTATAACGTGTCCTAACTAGTTTATGCTTTTGATCAATACCAGGGCAAGAAGAAACACTGAGTTCTTCTTGTTGTCTCCTTTTGTTCATTCACCTTTTGGCACAAGTAATTACTTTGGCACAGTAAAACGAACAATGTCTACAATCCCCACAAAAACGTTACAACAGTCATCAAACTACAACAATATAGAGAACTGAAAGGGAAGGGCACGGCACGGCAGCGGGGTGCACAAAACATCCCGTTGAGCGGGATCTCGGGGAAGGTTGCGCCCTAAGGGTGTAGTGTAGGCTAATCTTACCTTGCAGAATATTCTGCAAGAGACTGCTTCCAATATTCGAACCCGTGACCTCTAGATCACAATTGCAACACTTTAACGTATGCAAGCTACAACAATCTAGAGAACTGAAAGGGAGCTTCCAAAAAAACAAAAAGATACATTTGTTTTGGGAAGGAAAAAGGTCACAAAGCAAGTGACTTTTTACGAGACAAAAGATTCATCCGAGTCTCGAGCAAGCCCTTTGATCCGCCGAACAAATGCGCCTTCTATTGTGAGACTGAAGAAGAGAAGACAAAGGGAAAAAAGGGGGAAAGGGTTTTGAAAGATTATTCTGTTCTTGACAAGCATCTACTTTTGAAAGAAGCTATCCCAACAATGGGGGGGAATTGCAAGAGAGGTGGAATTATTGAGAGACCGCTTTTGTAATTTGTATTAGGAAGATGGAAAAACAGAGGAAGAAGGGGGAGAGGGTTTGTTATTATGTTTACTGGAACAGAGACAAGAGAAGAAGATGGCTTTGAGAACAGTCTTGAGAACTCGTCCTCTCTTTGGGACCAGACGAGGTTGTTGTCGGAATGTCGTCATTCGCTTTGGTTCAATGGCTAAGTGGTTGTCTTCTTCTTCTTTTTTTTTGGAGAAATAATAGATGGTAGATCTGTATCCAGCAGAGAGTGCCGACGTGAAGCTTTATATACTAATAGAGATATCTGTGAATGAATTTACGCGTTACAATTCCTAGACGCGTGGATGGCCTATATATATATATATATTGTATATTGTATATTCACGTATAGTAGCGTTGTGGAATTGTTCTTTCTTCATGTATCCAGGAAAAAAAAAAAAAATTCAAGGGTTTTAATCCCTTTTGTTTACTGTACGGAGTTTGAAATGGTCGCATTCTTTCTTTCTTCGGCTTCAAGGGGGGAAACGCGGTTTTGTTTACGAGCGACACAGTCACTGTCCCTTTCTCCCTTTGTTACAATACATCTCTTCTTTATTCAACTCTTTCTTTTTGTTGCAATTATATAAATGTATAATATATGGAGTATCACAAAAAAAAAACGAAACTTTTTAAATTTTACAAATACATATATATTACCTTTTAATTTTGTAAAAAAAATATACACATTTTACGATTTTTGGCAAAAGCCCGCGTAAAAAAACACAAGGACTTTTAGTTTGTATATTTGTGAAATTTAAAAAATTCAGGTGTGTATATATACAAGGTACAGGCTTTCTGCTACCATTGGGCTTAAAACTAGATCACGTTCGTTCCGTTTTCTTTATATTGGGCCTATCTCAAGGTTGCATCTGTCTTCATTTGTGGCCCAATTCCATTTTATTATTTTATATATTGTTATCATTTCGGTTTTCATTTAGTAATAAGCTATAAAAACTATCATTAAAAAGCATTACATGTAACTATGTAATTTATTTATATAGAAATTATTTACATTAAATTATATAATTGTATATTTTGGTAAGTATCTATGTAATGCTATGATTCTTATTGTGTTGTTGAGACAACATGGAAACCATACGACTTATGCACGTTACATTTTGTTTATGCGTAATTAATTTTTTAATGAAATTATACATTTTTTTTATATAACGTTCGGACGATTTGGTTGCATGATAACACACCCACGCACCTTTTTTTAAAAAAAAAAATTTATTCTCTCTATATTTTCCCTAAAAAAAATATTTCCCTTTTGTTTTCTTTAAAAGGAAACAATGTGTATGAATACATAGATAATGTTAATGAAACAAGAAAAAAAAATTACCAACAGATATTTTTATCTGCTAGACAACAAATCTCCCAAACACCATCTATGGAAAGACGACAATTGGAACCCCCTTACAAGATATTTTTTAATTTAAAAAAAAATTCTATCCATGAAGTTTTGTAGATAAGGGTCAATATTTTTTCCATAATGACAAATTATAGACCGTTTTAAAATTTCACATCCATAACGTTTTAAAAATGTTTCAACACATTTTCTTTTGTTCTAATTTGAATTATATAAACGTAGTGATTTAAAACGAAATCGAGGGAAAAAAATGAAAATGAAAATGAAAAATGTGATTTGGATATAAATATAACAATTCATCGCCGAGTCATGATGGCCATTTTCGTTCCTCCGAAATAAAATCGAAGTCCAGATCTCACGATTTCCCCCCATCTCCTCCTCTTAGGAACGGGAGAAAAAACGCCATGAGAGCACCGACGGTGCTGCTTCTCTTCATCGGAGCTCTTCTCTTCTCCGGCGTCTACCATGTCAGATCCGACGCCTCCGACCACCGTTACAAGGAAGCTGACTCCGTTCCTCTCTACGCCAACAAGGTCGGACCCTTTCACAATCCCAGGTAACCATCCCTATCAGCTCTTCATCCGGACTTAGATCTGAGATTTTCTCGGCTTCCAAACGGAGGTTTGAGGTGTTGATCGTCTGCTGCGCATGCGATTGTTGTGAACTGCTTTTTAAAATGAATCGGTCGCTAGCGCGATCTCGAAATTCGAGAACGGTGTGAAATGCGTAATGCAATTCCAGGGAATGAGAAGAAGAACTAGTTTTTGGAATGTTGTCGGCAGTGATGGGGACGTATCTTTGTGTTCGTTCGTGCGCCTTTCAATTTAGGTTTGATATCGTGATTACTGATTGTGCGTTTTCTTCGACGGTGATTGCAGTGAAACATATCGATATTTCGATCTGCCCTTTTGTGTTCCAGGTACGGTTACGTCTCACTAGCGAAATTTGTTTATTGTTTTCTTTCTATCTAGCATTACGTTGATTTCAAGGCAGCAAGATGTATATGTCTTGACTGATTGAGTTACTGCTACAAGTGAGAAAGAACAGTACTAGGGGGAGTGTAAAGGAAAAACTAAACCCATCTCATATTCATGAATTCCAATTCATCACTCAGTTTAGGACCAAATGAGACTAGAAATATAAAATTTGGAAAGTTTGCAGTCTAGATGGATACTTGATTCAAATTTTCAAGTACAGTGTTTTAGATCATGGACTGTGATCCATTTCATTTGCTGATCTGATTGGATGTGATTCACAGATGGTGTGAAGGAGAAGAAGGAAGCCCTTGGTGAGGTTTTGAATGGGGATCGACTCGTTAGTGCTCCATACAAACTCAACTTCAGAGAGGAAAAAGACTCTGAGGTGTACTGCAAAAAGAAGCTTAGCAAAGATGAGGTCAAACAGTTTAGGAGGGCTGTTGAGAAAGATTTCTATTTCCAAATGTATTACGATGATTTGCCTATCTGGGGTTTCATAGGAAAGGTGGACAAGGAGCGAAAGTCTGATCCGAGTGAGTTCAAGTACTTCCTGTACAAACATATCCAATTTGAGATTCTCTACAACAAGGACCATGTGATTGAAATCAGTGCCAGAATGGATCCTCATTCCCTTGTGGACTTAACTGAGGACAAGGAAGTTGATGCAGAGTTTATGTACACTGTTAAGTGGAAGGAAACCGAGATTCCATTTGAGAAAAGAATGGAGAAGTACTCCATGTCTTCATCTCTGCCACATCACTTGGAAATTCATTGGTTCTCCATTATAAACTCCTGTGTCACTGTCCTCCTCTTGACCGGTTTCCTTGCAACTATCTTGATGCGAGTCCTCAAGAATGATTTCATGAAGTAAGTTTAGGTATTGACTTTATTATTTCTTCGCCATTATTGATGTGACTTTTCTTTACTTACCCTTTGTTTTTTGTTTGGAAACCTACAAGGTATGCCCAAGACGAAGAAGCTGCAGATGATCAAGAGGAAACTGGATGGAAGTACATCCATGGCGACGTGTTTCGTTTCCCAAAGCACAAATCTCTGTTTGCTGCATGTCTTGGTAGCGGTACTCAATTGTTTACTCTGTAAGTTCCTTGATCGAAGATTGCATTTCATCATTCAAGACATCTGTGTATGTCTTATCCTGATTATATTATCGGTACTTTTCCTCGATGGTACCAGCACTGTCTTCATTTTCATGCTTGCTCTGGTTGGAGTGTCGATTTTGATGCCGGATTCGGTTCGGGTACGATTATATCTTATTCGGTTCAGTTCGACTCTGTTTTTTAAATCTATCCATACAACCGTGGAGCACTCTTCACTGCTCTGGTCGTCATCTATGCTCTGACATCCGGAATCGCTGGCTACACAGCAGCGTCTTTCTATGGTCAACTCGAAGGAAAGAACTGGGTAAGGCCTTGTAACGTTTTTAACACAACTGGAGACGATAAAACATTTACATA